TAAATTTATGTGTATATGTATAATTATGTGTATATGTGTAATATATATGTATGTGTATGTAAATTTATGTGTGTATATATGTGTATGAATGTGTGTTTATGTATGTGTATATGTGTATGTATATATATGTCTATATGTAAATGTATATGTGTATGTGTATATATATATAAATTTATGTGTATATGTGTAATATATGCGTATATGTGTATGTGAATATACGTATATATATGTGTATATGTATAATATATTTTTTATATTTTTTTTAAATTAAAAAAAATATTTGCGACGGATTTTTCTGTCGCAAATCCGTAGTAAACGTAGATTTTTTTTTTAAATATTAAAAAAGATATTTGCGACAGATTTTTCTGTCGCAAAACTCGGATTTTGTCCGTCGCAACTTTGCGACAGATTAACGACCGGCAAACTTTTGCGACAACAATATACGGACATAAATGATTCTATCGCAATCTGTCGCAAATTTGTAATTGCGACAGATATTCTTTTGTATTTGCGACAGATTTTTCTGTCGCAAATTTTGATGTTTCTTGTAGTGTTTAAACCAAGTCTAACCGGACATCTCCCTAGGTACATATTACCTAAACGGATCTAACACACTCTAGACCAGACCTGATTGGACTTAACACAAGGTATATTTCTACCTAACCGATCTCCTAGACTCTCGTACAAACCTGATTGGACTTACCCTAGGCATAATTTTACCTAACCGACCTATTAGACTCGAAATACAGCCTACCTTAATACCTGATTACGTCTAACCAGACCTAACTTAAGGCTAACCGGACCTGATTACGTCTAATCAGACCTATAACACCGAGTCTACATGGCCCCCAACAAAGTCTTAATCAGTCCTACGATCCCGAGTTTACCTGGTCCCTCACAAAGTCCTAATCAGACCTACCCAAGTGATATCTAGACCCTAACAGCCCTAGTTAGACAACCAAAAGCCCAAACTAGACCAGAAAACCTAATCAGACCTAAGCCAACCCTAATTGACCTAACAACCCCTGATTAGTTACCCTAAGTCCTAGTCAATCACCTAAAAGTCCTAATCATTAAACCTAAGCCAACCCTATTGACTTACCAACCCATGATTAGACTTTTAGCACCCTAATCAGACCTAAACTAAGCCTAAAGAGACCTAATTTCCCTTTGATCAGACCCTATAAACGCCTAAAACCAGCCCCTATAGACCTGCCCTGATCTAAACCGACCCCTACAGACCTATACCTAGTGATTCTAGACTTAACCAACCCCTAAACCAACCCGTTTTAGTCAAATCCCAACTAATCAGACCTAACCGGTCAATGTACCGGACTCTATCACTCAAAACTGGTACTTAGGAGTCTTATCTAGTCCTAAACTAGATAATACCTAAATCTATAATTAGATTCTAATCCGATCAGACCTAGACAATGTCTCTATAGACATTCTAAAC